ACAGCCCCACACTTCCCCCCCACCCTACACAAAATATGGCTCAGAATCGTCGGTTGCGGCACTTTTTGTTTACCATTACCTCCACTCATACACCTTTCCATTCTAATTATTCGTCATGTTTGTTAAACCTAATACTAATTGGGCCTTTTCTTATAAATGATGATGATGGTATTAACCACGTTTGGATCCTTATCCTCTCTTTCCTCACTCAGTGGAGTACGTAATTCCTCTTCTGGCTGTGCATTTAAGGGGCCCATGTCCTTCCATCGACATGTATTGGTATATTAATTACTGTCCTTGGAACCGACTTAAAAAATGCAATTTCTCTTCAAAACAAATAAAACGTCAATCACCAACTATTTCTTAATCAATTGTTTGTCGAATAGTAATTTCTTTCATAGAAGTCATTAAAATTAGTTTCAAATTAAGTATATGATCATATAGTCAAATTGCTATTAACATATTAAAGAGACCCAATTGTGTGTTAAATGTTATTATTTGACCAAATTTATGGGGGGCATCCAAAAAAAATGATTGACTTTAGAAGAGGTAAGTTAATTTAGGCACATACGTGTGTAATAGAGGAAGGGAGAGGGGATTGTGTCGTAATCCATGAATGAAGGAATAATTTTATGAATTAAGAAAGAAAGGGAAAAGGGATGGTGTTGATGTGAAATAGCATGTGCGGAAGGGAGAAATAATTGTTGATATGAGAGGGACTGCCACATGGCATGGAGCAATAAGCAGCAGGTGATGGAGTGTATAAATAGAGGTTGGTATGTAATTGTCACAAGTACCCTCTTCAAACCACCATTCTTTCACTCTTGAGTCTTCATCCCATGCCAACTAACATGGCTGTGCTTTTAATCAAACCCTACCTTAACTGCTTAACAAAGACCCTCACGTTGGTTCTGTCTCTTAATAATCACTTTTCAATAAAGTTGGATTGGATTCTCATTCTTTTGAATCAACGACTTCTAGTTGCTTTTCAAACCCACGAGGAACGGCTACGATCACTCAAAACGACAACCGTATCACTCGTGAAAGAACAAAATCCACAAAATTATGAACAGCGAGAGTCATCACGGAGGACCAATCTGGTAGGGCCACGTGTCCCTTGCGTTTTCTTTTTCCAAAACGACAACCAGCGGTCCCGTGTGTCGTCGTAAGAGGTTCTCGTTGCGCCATGTCAGCGTCGTATAAGAGATTATTGGTTACAAGTGTGAAATTTCGGCGAAGTTTGCGGTTAGGAAAATTTAAATTACGGGAACAGAATCAAAGCATAAAAGAAAAGGGGGAAGAAGGGGATACGTTTGGACCTACAAAAACCCTCGCCACTTTGATTTTTGAGTGCAAACCATGTGCTTCGCTCACCAACGATGTAATTTTAGATCATGTTTAATCACTCACACCTATTCACAAAATAACAACACTAAAAAAGATTGAGCTTCAAAAATGAAACTATTGTTTGGAATGCAAACAAAGTTTCACATCATTCAAATAAGAAGATCAACATGAATTTATATACACACAATTATCTCTATTGGTATAGAGGTTTTTTAAGTGGTATCCAAAAGCAAAACCGTAAGAATCGGTTCCAAAATGGACAATATCTCATCAACATAGAAACATGTGTCATAAGCCCCGATGCCAAATAACTATGCATATTTTCAGTTCCACTCCTCTTAAATAAAGAAAGAAAAAAATGAAAAAAAAATCCTACCCATTAATGCTTCATATTTTTGTCATGGGAAGAATGTTATATACTATGTTTAGAGGATAGGGTAGGCTTCTAAGTGTATTTGTTTTAATGTTAACATATTTTTCATTGTCGGTTCAATCCAATTCATAGGTTTTATAGTTTTGAGTTTAATAGATGTTTGAAATTTCTCAATGTTAAAATAAACACACTCTAAATTGGGAACGTACTCTCTGAATATTTTGGCACATGTATTGACATGTATTGAAAGTTGAAAAAACACACCACTAAATAGTACACAATGTTTCCGTAAGAAAACCGTGGGATTTATTGAAAATCAAGCTGTTGAGTTTGTACTTCATTTTTGTGGAATATATTTTGTACTGATTAGCATTAATGAAACTAAAATTTAGATTTGTTCACATTAACTCAACTGCTTGATTTTCATAGCATTATAAGTTATATAAGAAAATATATTGTTAATATTTTTTCACCGGATAACTTTATTTTAAAATTTACTTATAGATTGAAACTCCTTAAAACTAGACTTATAAAATTTATATTAAACTAAAAATATTTAATATTCTAATGATATATATCAAAACAAACATAGTGTACTTTTAAATAAAATATTAAAAAAAATCTTTGAATCTGATTTTGGCATAAATATAAGAAAAAAAAATACACTTATATCTAATAATATGTCGTTATTTCATTTATTGAGTTTGACAGTCTACATATATAAACGTTAATAAGACATTTTCTCATTTAAAAATTTAAAAATCAAATCATGATCAAGATAAAATAAAATCTAAAAAATTATCTAAATAATTAATATATTAACATATATCAATAATTAATACATTAACATATATCAGAAAAAAATTCACTTATTTCAAAAATAATTCTTAATATAATTATTCCATTTAATAAGATATTAAATTTTAATAATTCAACTCTCAAATTAAAAAATTTTAATAGACATATAAAACTTATAATTTTATTAGATTAATTTAATTTATCGTATAATATACTTCTATGAAGTATATATCTACGATATGAACGAAGGTAACTTTTTAATACTTCGTGTTTGAGTTATCAAGTTGATTAATATCACATCATAATAATTGGATAAAGTGAGTTTTTAGCACATAATGGGCCAGTTTGTTTAGAAATTTAAAAAAATTATTTTAATGTAAAATAATCTATTAATTATTTATTTTGGAGATTTTAAAAAAAAAAGTAGTAGCTTTATTTTGTTTGTTTAACACCATAAAAACAACTTTTCTTAAAACAAACAACTAATTTTTATAAGAAACCAGGTAAACTAGTTTACGATTTTAATCAAAATTTTGATTCTTTTCAAAAAAAATTATTATTTGAAAAAGTTGAAACAAGCATGAAAATTTTTAAAAAATATATTTATTCTTTTAAAGAGAAATACTTCTTGTATGAAAAAAGAAGTTGCAACATATGAATCCAATATATAAAAATTAAACATTTAATAGCATGTGTAAGCATAAAACTTATTTCACGCAATCATATGCAATCAATCATTAAAGTAATCTCTAAAACTAATCCAATTTAAACACCCACCACCCAGTTTTAACTTTTTCTGTAGCAAAATAAAAGCTAGTTTAACTTTCTTTTTTATTTTTACGAACACAATTAAACGCAATTGTTTTCCCTTGTCACGCAAGCAAAGCAAGAGTTTGGGACCCCATAAAATCCACTATATGATTGAGCAAGCAATTATAAGCCAGCTAGAGTAAAAAATTTCTCTCATGTCGTTTCAGGCGTCCCTATCTTTTTATCAGAATAGATTCTTACAACTTCTCAAGTCGAAAGCACCTTAATTAGTATTGTTTTTCTTCTATGGGAACCTCTCTATATACCTATATTATGCTTAACAGCAAGCATGTATGGGAAAAATGATTAGATGAAAAGTTCAATAACAAACAAAAAAAACTATGAGTTGTTATCCACGCCAAGATCAAAGCTCCTTCGGTGTCGGTGTATGTTTTCATCGTATCATTTTACCTGCCTACATTTCCTCTTCAAGCGTATATCAATCCACTGTTGTTCTTCCATACACATATCAATTAATTAATAACCATGTTGTGTGATATATATTAGTATTGGCATAGAAAAGAACAAAACAAAGAAAGATAAATTAGAATCCCTTGTATGATAAAAATAAACAGTAATTTGTATTATTATTTTACCCCCCGGCTTTTGTGGTTCTCCTTCTCGTCTCCTATTTTGTAACTATTGTTTATGAATGAGGTTCTCCAATATCCCAATTGCAATTAAGAACGCAGGATATGGATATCAATTACGCTCAAGATTTTCCAAGATGCCTCTTAAATTAAAGTAAAAGATGGACCCATAGGAGCAAGTAAGTCAATATCTCCCACCAGGTAACGTTTTAAATTTTCACGATGTCACTCGTTTATATGAAACAAAGTCAAAATATGAAGATTTTGCTGCCTATAGCCTAGTGTACAAAAACTAGAATGGGGAGTCTGTTTTTCACATCCAATATGAACATAGTTAGCTGAATTGGCCAGTACTACTTCATAACATCACATGTTCCCTGCTTTTGAGGAGGCTTTTACTTTAACCAGGCTCGTTGAATAACTCGATAAATCTATCAAAGTGCCCATTACTCGTGGCGCGATGCCTTCTAAATTTGGCTATGAAAATTAACGTGGCAAGTGAAGTAAGAAACTTTTTTTTTGAAACATGTCCATAATGGGATCCCTCTCTATTAAAGAAAAGTTTGTACCCACTCAACTCGCTCTAACGCCATAAGCCAATGTTTAAAGGTAAAACCAAGAGAGTGTAGGGAAAACGAGAAGGGACT